GTTCTTCGTCTTTAATTAGCGAGTTACCATCGGATGAGCGGCCATACATTGTCTTAGTGGAATTGAAAAATTCATGCATCTAATGTTGATCTGCAAATTTTTGCATTTCACACTCTTTATTTTTCAACCATTCGTTTTATAAATTGAGAAGTTTGATCTGGGCTCTCACTTCTGGTGGAGGGTATCAGCTTTGGTCCAAGACTGAGGATTGTTCTGCCAGTCGGTGAAAGCAACACATTTATCACTGATGAGTACGTTGATTTCCTGGTTATACAGTATAGTACTGTACTCTGTTTTGGTGACTGTGAAGTGAGTTTTGCTGTTTAACTGCCGAATGGTTCGACAATTAGACAACGTCACATCTTAAGGGTGAGAGAAACCCACAATGTTGACGCACTCAATATTTATTGGTTGATATGTTCAAACCTGTAAAGAATGAAACACTCGTTTACTACTGATTACATTCCATTACATGTATACATTATACGTCAGTTAGTAAATACATTTTTCTGTCTGCATTATTATCAAAGTGCTTTACAACATTTCACCACAACACAAACAATCACTGAATCACTGTTCTTTCACTCATGTGTGCTAGCTTATATCTCCACTTAACTCTTAGTATCGTTCCAAGTAATTCCTGGTTATAGCTAGTGGGTGTACACTCAAAGGGGGTTGGACGGGTACTGCCCGTGCCAGTGCCAGCTAGAGGTATTTGACCAACACCCCCACACACCTGGCAAGGTCACAGGTCGAAGGATCAGTTGAGGTCCTGCTCTAGGGCCGAAACGATGGCGCCATCGTCTCCTCGCTCAGTACACAACATTTTCTCATTAGTCTTATCACCCTCCCATAGTTGCAATAACACTGACAACGAGGGCGGCAATAACAGCTGTTTTTTGTGACTGAAATACTTTATCTCTGTTGTTGTGATCACGAAGTAAGCAGCGGCAACTGGTATCATTATTTTTATGTTGTCTTTGTTTTTCCCTGACAGTTACAGGAAATTACAAAGATTCACAGTGTATTGTACTATACAGGTACAGTACATGTGCTCTGCTTTAGTGACTGTGAGATGTTTTTGTGCTGACATTGAAATGCTTTTTTTACTTTAGTGACTGTGGGGTGTTTTCCCTCTTTTTTGTGATTGTGAAATGAGCAATATAACTTCGAAAATGTCTGGCAAGCATTTTTCTCAGGGACCTGTGTCTGGGAAGGCCAAGGCACCCGTATCTCTTGAGGTGAAGCTCAACATTGAGAAGCCGCATGAGAAAGGTGAAGGAATGTGCTACATTGCTTGTGCTCTTGACCTGATCCAGTCAACGGTGTCTACCATCATTAAGAAGGCACCGGAAATGAAGGCCGTGACGCAGAACATGAGCCCAATCTCCGTTTTATGGTCTTAATTAAAAATGTGCGAGGCTATCATGGATAAGATGGAGAGTCTACTCCAAGACTGGATTCAAGACCAGACTCGATGCCGTTTGCCTCTCTCCAGTATTTGGATGAAGCTGAAGGCAAAAAGCAGTGACAACAGTGGTAGTAAGACCTCTTCCACTTTCAGGGCAAGTCCAGGGTGGATTCTGCAGTTCAAGAACTTCGATTATCTCCACAACCTTCTTCTGCCTGGTGAGGTAGTCAGTGCTGACATCATGAGTGCTAATGCCTTCCCGGCACTCCTGAAGGCTATGGTGGAGAAAGGAAGATACAGTGCCAAACAGGTCCTGAACTTTGATGAGACAGGTCTGTTTTGGAAGAGGATGCCATCGAGGACTTTCCTGGCCAAGGAAGAGAAAGGGACATGTGATGACGACCAGACTTGTTCTTAATGATGTGGCGAGTGTTGTTTAATAATGTTGCAGTGCTGGTAGTATTCTAGGATCTTTAGTATTTTTTTGGTGACATATGTGGGTGTCTGACTGGTCAGGAACTTAACTTATTAACTCTAATGTTATAATGAACCTGATTTATGATATTTCGATCTGCGATGGGGTTTTCAGGAACCTAACCACATCGTAAATAGACGTTTACCTTATTTCAAAAACACATATTTTACACAACTAAGCTAACTCACTCTTAGTCTCTTACCATGTTTTAAGATTTACAAACAGAGTGCACATTACCCTCAAATGCCCCGCCAAGCCACATCTCCCCATCTAGAATATTTCATTTTATTTAAAACTTAAACAATATTTTTTCCAGAAGTTCTCCATCACCGTCCAGCAGCGTGGCAGTTACTCCATTGTGTAAAATGGTCATGATTTAAACACCTTCAATAGAATGTTTCTTTTGGTTTTATGAGATGATATATTACACAAATTTTGTTGCGAATGATCCACAAAAAATATATGTATGAACTGCACTTTATGTCCTTTTTAAATACTGTGTGGCTCACTCGCAAAAAATTCTTAAAATCCCTGAAATCATAACCACCATCTTCATCACCACCATCATCATCACCACCATCACTACCACCATCACCAGTAATACTATAATCACCACCACCACCAATACTACTTCCACCACCACTAATACTACCACCATTATCACAATTACTACCACCACCAACACCATTAACATGACCACCAACACTTCTAACCATCACCACCATCATCAATACCATCATCACAACCATCACCACCACCATGGCTAGCACCATTACCACCACCATCACCACAACACCAGCATCATTACCACCAACACTACTACCACCATTATCACCATCAACATTCTACCACCACCAACACTACTACCACCATTATCACCATCAACATTCTACCACCACCAACACTACTACCACCATTATCACCATCAACATTCTACCACCACCAACACTACTACCACCATCACCACCAGCACTACAACCACCACCAACACTACTACCACCACCATTATCTCCACCAACACTACCACCACCATTATCACCACCACTACCACCAACACTACTACACCACCATACCACCATATACACCATCACCACTGCACTTATCTCTACACTACTACCATACCACCATTATCACCACCACTACCACCAACACTACCACCACCATTATCACCACCACTACTACTCTCACCAATACTACCATCACCATCACTACCTGCACCACCACCACTAAACTACCACCATCATCTTTACCACCAACTACCTGCATCATCACCACCAACACTACTACCACCATCATCACCGCCAACACTACCACCACCATTATCCTCACCACCACCACTACCACCACCATGACTAGCACCATTACCACCATCAACATTACTACTATTATTACCACAATATTACCATCATCATCCTGGGAGCCCGGATCCACCCATTTTCATCAGAAGATTCCAATACTTTTTCTTTAATGCACTATTGTATTGGGGCGTTTTTGTATAGTAAAAAGTAATTACTATTGACCTCAGAATATCTCCTAATATCAAGTGAACATGACCTCAAAATGGCCTCCCCCCTCCCCTCCCCCGGCTGGGTGGGTTCGCTGTTCCCATCATAATCCCTTGCCACCCCCCCCACCCCCATTTTGATATTCCTGGATCCGCCCTTGCACTACCACCACCAATCCACCATCACCGCCACCATGACTAGCGCCATTCACCGCCACCATGACTATCACCATTACCACCATCACCACCATCACCACCATCATCACAACACCATTATCATCACCATCACCACCATTATCACCATGGAACTACCACCACCATCCCCACCATGACTAGCACCATTACTACCATCACCAACATTACCACCACCACCACCATCATCATTACCACAACACTACCACCATCATCATTACCACAACACTACCACCATCATCCTTACCACAACACTACCATCATCATTACCACAACACTACCACCACCATTACCACAACACTACCACCATCATCATTACCACAACACTACCATCATCATTACCACAACACTACCACCATCATCATTACCACAACACTACCACCATCATCATTACCACAACACTACCACCATCATCACCACCAACACTAGATTTCGAGACGTACTGAGACAGGTGGGAGGAGAAATTGTGGAGGGAGTGGAGTGGTGAGATACTCCACGTGGTACAGTATAGCTTCCATCACCCCAGTAAAGGTCCTGTGGTTCATAAAGTCTCATAAATTATGTTTTCCCTTACTTGAAGATAAATAGAACACACATAAAGTTATAGTCGAGTTCGTGAGCCGAGCCGACGTTATTTGATCCGCCTTCTGTAAGTCGTAGTTAGAATGAGCCAGTCAGATGCATCCTCACACAACCAGTACCAAGGAAATTTAACCTAAGGACCTATTAAGTATTTCGGGTCTTGTCATACATACTCATACACTATTAATTTTAACATTAACATTTGTCTCATGTTGTAAATACGAGTTTTCCATTTATGATGTTAAGTCCCGTTAATATCTCACGATTACATCATTAAAGGCGTGTTAAAGTAAATGGTTATCGTGGTATCTGGGCAACACCGCCTCCCTAGCTCTTCCCGCCCGCTAATTTGTTCGTCAATGTGCAGTAAAGATTCTGAACGTTAAGGCTTCTTCCCTTATTACATCAGCCGAGAACAAGATGTACTTTCACTAAGCATTGTCTTTCCCCACACACCGACAACATCCATGTTTTCCATGAAGTTGTAGTTTTCACACGGATCTACCATGCAACAGGGACTGTGCGGGTCACAGTGGCGAGAAATTAATATTATGGAATCATTCCATATGCTTCACTGCTTCCTATCGTCTCATTCATCTCAACACAATACACCTGCATAACCCACACTACCCTGCCAGACGCACAATGACCCCATCACCACAACATAAACATCCTCTCAAATAAAGCTGTTCATTTATATTCCTTAACATCTAACTGACGTGCAACTATTATATACGAATGGATTTTGAAGGAATTAACACCGTTATACGGAAGGATTTTGTGTGGTTGATAACTGCTGTAAGACATGTTGCAAGAGGTTGCCGGGCGGTTAGGCTAGGGTTGTAGTTCAAGTGGTGTGGGAGACACGAGACTCACTCAATGTTGTGGTTGAGCTCCTATAATTAAACAAGGGTCAGACCTGGGCAGCGGCGCCTACCACCAACTTTGTCTCGCTCCAAACACACGCACGCGCACACACGCGTCTGATTTTTGTGCCTCTTAGTGTGTATGTATGTGTCTGAGTGTATGGAAGAGTTGTTGTTTGTCAGCGTTATAATTACCGTGAGTGTTGAACTGGAAAAAGATGTTATGTGACAGTGAGATAACATTAGGTCTCATGCAGTCAACCGAGTCGTAACAGTTGGTAAGTATAGCCTACTATTGCCTTCACGATGTAACCCAGTATACAGAAATATTATACCCAGACATTGAATCAGATACTCTTAAATTTTTCATAAAATAAATATATAAATTGTATTTTGGGAACGTAATGACAATATTACGAATAATTTGTCAAAATTTTATAATATTTACACTTAAAACCTATACAAATAGCAAATATTCCTCATTAACGTAAAAATGTTAAACGCGTAATAGAACCACTTACAGCATTTATCATACAAGGTTAGGTTAGCAATGAGATATTTAATCATCAATTGACACAGTAAACTGGGATGTTCACCATGTAATCCCAAAACCACTTGTCGATTTTCAGTTGTTTGTTGTTCAGATGCCCGAGATAAACGTGTGTTGTGGCAAGAGGTCTGTGAGCGAGTATTCTTAGTAAATACACTAGTCATCACTTGGAAATATAGAGAGATTCTGTACATCTCAACAATCAGTGAATTTACTACGGTATTGTAGATTCATGCGAGTTGAATTGAAATCTTGGTGATCAGTGTAATTACTAACCCAAATTACTCCCTTTAGTTGTAGAAGCGCAGTTTATAACATCAATTTATAATTTGAAACTGAAGAAAGTGTTAAATTGATAAAAATGTGTGTGTATATGGTCACGGTCACTGTAGTAGTAAGAGGATTTCTCAGAAATAAAAAGGACGGGCTTTCATCTGTACATCAAATAATCATTCACGGTGTCAATTTCATGTGTGAGGGTTGGCGATCACGGCCCTCCAATCCAAATGTTTTCGGGCAGAAAATTAGTGCTATGAATAGATTTTAAGCTGGTATTTAATATATGGTGTTATATTTTTAATCTACAGTAGTTCTGATATGCATTGTTCCTCCATTTGATGTAGTCTTTCGTGAATTACTATTATTGTTGAATATTGACGGCCATTACTGGTCACTGATATAGAGAGAAGTAATGAGAATTAATGGCCGGAACTGAATAGTTTACTGTATATGTAAAATTAGTACGTAATAGTTATAGAAAATGTTCTGTATTTTTGTATAGTATTGTTATGCCGAGGCATAATTTACTATTATAATGTTTGTAAACTAGGTGTTTTGATTATTATTTTCTATCCCAAGCAGGAGTTGTTATGGCAAGTTTGGGGAGACATTTTGAATATATTGATGTATTACTTATGTAAGAATTTTCTAGAATGTATTGCATCATTTTTGTTGATTTACTTTCTATTGTAAGCTTAGATCAGAGTAGAACGTCCTAGAACTTCCCAGACCTGTCTGGGTTGTTCTAGGTTCATCTGATAGGGTATATAAGCGACAGCGTATAGCTGACTAGGCCGAATTAGCCTAACGGCGAAGTGGCCAGTAATCCCCAAAACACGTTCAAGCTGACTCAGTCAGTCGACCGTTTCTGTTCAGTGTTCAGTACAAGCCTGGAAGAACAACTGAAGATAATTGTTGTTCAAGTACTGTGGAGTTATTGTGAGCAATATATAAGTGAAAAACTAAGGAATTGTACACTGGTAGTGCTGACTATCTATTCGAAGTGTGAAGTCCAGCTGTGAAGACAATTACCCCATGAACAGTGTTGTGAAGAATTAGTGATAATTAAAGAAGACTACAGTTCACAAGTTTGTTTCCGTGACCTGGTGGAAATCTACCTGCCTGTTGTTTTGTCTGTACACTGATACCGATCGTCGGGAAATTACCGGAGACTGGCGGGACAGCCAGTGGTAATTGACGACACTTGTGAGATACCTACTGCTTCTGTATATTACGACCTGGCCGGTGGTAACCAGTGGTGGAAGCTGGGTAAGCGGCGAAGAGTGTCGTAACAGCATACAGGTAGTTCTCGTATAAATTAATAAAAGTACCGAGGCAGTTTTTCGCGTCAACTCAACACACCCAGACACGTTATAACTGATTGAAATACGTACAGTAATTAATCGTCAACGTGATCAGTTAAGCTGACTACCGTATGTGTTCTTGTGTTTACTGTCAGAGTAGTGTTAGTATTTAGCTTTACTTAAAGTTAATTATTCCGTTGATATCGTAACGTGTGTGTTTATAGTGAAATATTTACTCCCAGGAATTTAGTGACGATAAACTGGCCCTCAAGTGAACACTGACCTTGAACACTCCCTCAGTTGCCCTGTACCCTCCCTCCTCACACACTTGTGTTACAAGTTCATTGTACATCTCCAGGGTACATATTAGCTTAAATATTTTCATGCTCATGCCAAAACATTAAAGAGCATAACTTGTGTACGCGCTTGGTGCATAGTCTGAGTGAAAATATATTTAATTATTGTGTGGACATGTTCAATACACAGGCTGTGTGAAAATGCTCAGTATACACACGTGTGGGAACATGTATGTACACACTGTATAAGTTTCGGTGTATACGGGCTTCATGCGTATGCGCTGTGCACATTTCACACACACACACACGACGAGACACCTTGGGAGCTTTTAGAAGGCGCACTCATGCACGACCTAAGCTAACACGCTACACACGTACTGTACAAAGACGGCCCCGAAGTGTGTATATATATATATATATATATATATATATATATATATATATATATATATATATATATATATATATATATATATATATATATATATATATATTCACAAGAAAAGGGGAAACAATGGAGCATGAACATCAGGAAAGACGTTGCATTTGAGTTTGTGGCGGGCGGTAACGTAATGTTGGGAGGTAACTACAGACGGGAAATTATTTGATCTGACGTAGTTATGATCACTGCTAGATGGATGATAGCGCCAGGCGCTGTTGACTGCTCGTGGAAGCTTAATTATTTGTCATCGTATTATTCGGCCATGGTGCGTGCTGGAAGAAATTCTCACCAGGTGGTGTTTGACCTACGCCGGCCTGTGAGGCAGGACCTGCACCCAAATCTGAACCCGAATTTACATACCGACAAAAGCAAGTTTGGTTTAGGTTATGTTAAGATTAGGTTAACAGCTTACTTTTGCTTATGTTAACCATTTAGAGGGCAGGAGTTTCTCTCAGCTGAATAAAATCGTCTGACGTTAGTCAAAATGAAATACCTGAGTGAGCCTCTGCCCTCTGAAGGGTTTATGGTAGGTTAGGTTAACAGCTTATGTTTAGCTGTTAGGGGTAGGTTAGGGTGTCTTAAGTTGTTTAGGTTAATGAGAGGCCGAGTTAAGATATATTTGGTTATGTGTGGTTGTTAGGTTTGTGTTAACTGGTAAGTTAGATTAATTTGGACATTTTTATGTAAGGAAATAGTAATAGGTTAGTTAATGTATGGTTAAGTTAGGTTGAGGATAGGCTGGATTAGGTTTGGTTGTTCTCTTATTTTAATTTTGGTGGAGTTAGGTTTGGTTAGGTCAGGTTAAGAATAGTGTAGGTTAGGGATATGATATGTTTTTAAGGTTAAGTTAAGGGTATAGGGTATATTATTTAGGCTGAGTTAGGCATAAGGTACATTGATTTAGGTTGACTAAGGTGTAGTAGAGAGTGTTTTTGTTCAGGTTAAGTTTTAGGTGGGATTAGGCCTTTACTAAACAATTTCATTCATTCGAATATATTGTGTAGGAGTTTACAGTTCTGTTGACTCACTCCATCCTTCCCAGCGCTGTGTACCACCCGTGACTACCACCATGGTTTGCCTTGACTTCCCGAGGCAACGACCAGCTCCCCTGCCTTCCTTGTTTTTCGTCTAGTCACTTGAAACATCTTAAGCCATCCATGACGACCCTCTTCACCTCCACCCATGCCCCTGGCGTGTTGTGGGCGGCAGTGTGGGCAGTCCTGTGTAGCATGGTAGGGGCAGTGTGGGGGCAGTTCGGTCCCCAGTGTGAGGAGATCAAGATACCCATGTGTCAGAAGATGCCCTACAATCTGACTAGACTGCCTAATCTGCTCCATCACTCAACCCAAGAGAATGCCCAGCTTGCCATGGACCAATTTGAGGTAGGTACCGAACTCACCCTTTGACTACACAGAAAAAAAAACTACTGTAGGTATCGAGCTATACGAGGTAGGTACCGTTAAGGGGAGGTGGTATTGTTACTACCAACTCTACCAATCGGGGACATAACCACTCATCCAAGACGACCAGACTGTTGCCTAATACTTCGTATTGAGCAGCAGTTTGAAGACCACACAACCACGCAGACGTCTACTGTGCCTCCTTCACAAGCTGTCGACCGATCATCACGATTCACAGCTTGGAGGTGGGGCTGAACCAGCTGTTACAATCGAGCAGTTGAATGTTTTAATATAAATTGATACTATCTCACTCTTAACGTAAATAATAAAGGTATTTCACTTCCTGGTTCCCTTATACGTACACTCTTGGATCTGACTTATAACAGGTAACAAAACTAATGGTAATCTACCTCAGGATTCATAAGATCTTCTTTAATATCCAGTCAGATAGATTCTCCTTCTCACTTGGTTGTGGATTATAGATTTGGGCGTGTGAGGAGGTAGTTGGCAGCTAACCTAACCTTCCAGGTAGCTTAAGGGTAGGTGATATATAAGTGAAATATAAGTGAAAAAAGCTGGGTGTGAATAATGTTCAGGTGATCCAGTATTAACCCCCATACCTACCTGTCTCTCCCTCTCCCTTGTTCAGTCAGTACATAAGAGAATAATAATTCAGGTTTACATAATTAGATTCGCACAACTTTTTCTTCTTCTTCCCCAATTTTCAGCTTTTGGGATGGACGAGATGTTCAGACCAGCTGGAGTTCTGTGCTCTATGTATGCACCCATCTGTACTGTGGGTTTCGTTCACGAGGCCATCCCGCCGTGCAGGAGTGTGTGTGAGGCTGCCAAGCAGGGGTGTGAGCCACTCCTCGCTAAGTTTGACATCGCGTGGCCCGCCAACCTACAGTGTGATCATCTGCCAGTGTATGACAGAAGTGTTTGTATCACCCCACAGGCCATCATCTCCTCAGGTCAGTGTATGTGTGGGTTATTCTGGGGAGGTTGACACCCAACTAGTGTTACTGTGGGGAGGTTGACACCCAACTAGTGGGTTATTCTGGAGTTGACACCCAACTAGTGTTACTGTGGGGAGGTTGACACCCAACTAGTGTTACTGTGAGGAAGTTGACACCCAACTAGTGTTACTGTGGGGAGGTTGACACCCAACTAGTGGGTTATTCTGGGGAGGTTGACACCCAACTAGTGTTACTGTGGGAGGTTGACACCCAACAGGTGTTACTGTGAGGAAGTTGACACCCAACTAGTGTTACTGGGAGGTTGACATCCAACCAGTGGGTTATTCTCAGAGGCTGACACCCAACAAGTGTTACTGTGGGGAGGTTGACACTCAAATCAGTGTTACTGTGAGGAAGGACACCCAACTAGTGTTACTGTGGGAGGCTGACACCAACCAGTGTTGTCAGGGGAGGCTGACACCCAACTAGTGTACATGGGAGGCTGACACCCAACCAGTGTTGGCCGAGGAGTGCTGACACCAACCAGTGGGGTTATTCTGGGAGGTTGACACCCAACTAGCACAGGGAGCAAGGCTGACACCAACTAGTGTTACCGTGAGGAAGCTGACACCCAACCAGTGTTACTGTGGGGAGTGCTGACACCACAGTGTTATCAGGGGAGGCTGACCAACTAGTGCAAGTTATTGTGTGAGGCTGACCAACCAGTGTGTTGGTCATGGCGTCGACACCAACCAGTGTGCTACTGGTGGGGGAGCGTTGACACTCAACTAGTGTTACTGTGGACACCCAACCAGTGTGTTATTGTGGGAGGTTGACACCAACTAGTGTGTTATTGTGGGAGGCTGACTCAACCAGTGTTACTGTAAAGGCTGACAACTAGTGTGTTATTGTGGGGAGGCTGACACCCAACCAGTGTGTTGGTTATGGGGGAGGCTGACACCAACCAGTGTGTTATTGTGGGGAGGCTGACACCAACCTAGTGCTGGCCGTGCAGTTGACACCACCAGTGTGTTATTATGGGGAGGTTGGGACATCCAACCAGCGTGTTATTGTGGGAGTGCTGACACCCAACCAGTGTCAACAGCTGACACCCAACCAGTGTGTTAATATGGGAGGCTGACATCCAACTGTGGTGGGGAGGCTTCTATCAATCAACCAGTGTCACTGTAGCTGACACCAACCAGTGTTGGCTATGGGGAGGCTGACACCAACCAGGCAGCCAAGCAAGCTTGACAATCAACCATGTCACTGTGTGGTGCTGACACCAACCAGTGTGTTATGGGAGGCTGGACATCCAACTAGTGTGGCTATTGTGGGAGGCTGACACCAACTAGTGTTGGCCAGGAGAAGCTGACACCCAACTAGTGTGTTATGGGGAGGCTGACATCCAACCAGTGTTGGCTGTGGGACCAACCAGTGTGTTGACATGGGAGGCTGACAACCAGTGTTATTGTGGGAGGCTGACATCCAGTGCTAGGGAGTACACATCCACCAGTGCTATTGTGGGAGGCTGACATCCAACTAGTGTGTTGGTCAGGGGAGGCTGACATCCACCAGTGTGTTATCAGGGAGGCTGGACATCCAACTAGTGTGTTATTATGGGGAGGCTGACATCCAACTAGTGTGTTGTGGGGAGGCCACCAACCAGTGTTACTGTGGAGGCTGACACCAACCAGCCACTGTGAGGAAGGACACCCAAATCAGTGTACATTATGGGGAGGCTGACAATCAACCAGTGCAAGTTATTATGGGGAGGCTGCACCAACCAGTGTTATTATGGAGGCTGACACCCAACTAGTGTTATTGTGGGAGGCTGGGACACCCAACCAGTGTGTTATTGTGGGGAGGCTGACATCCAACTAGTGTGTTATTGTGGGGAGGCTGACACCCAACCAGTGTGTTATTATGGGGAGGCTGACACCAACTAGTGTGTTATGGGGAGGCTGACACCACCAGTGTGTTATTGGGAGGCTGACACCCAACCAGTGTGTTATTGTGAGTGCCATCCAACCAGTGTGTTATTGTGGGGAGGCTGACACCAACCAGTGTGTTGGCTGTGAGGCTGACATCCAACCAGTGTGTTATTGTGAGGCTGACACCCAACCAGTGTGTTATTGTGGGGAGGCTGACACCCAACCAGTGCAAGTTATTGTAGAGGCTGACACCAACCTAGTGTGTTATTGTGTGAGTGCCGACAACGCGTGTTACTGTGTATGCCGACATCCAACCATGTGTTACATGGGGAAGGACATTCAACCAGTGTGTTATTGTGGGAGGCTGACCACCAGTGTGTTATTATGGGGGCTGACCCAACTAGTGTGTTAGCCAGGGGAGGCTGACATCCAACTGCAGACATGGGAGGCTGACATCCAACTGGTGTGTTATTAAGTGGTGCTGACACCAACTAGTGTGTTATTGTGGGAGGTTGACACCAACTAGTGTGTTATTATGGGGAGGCTGACACCACCAGTGTGTGTTATTGTGGGAGGCACCAACTAGTGTTACCGTGGGGAGGCTGACACCAACTAGTGTTACTGTGAGGAAGCTGACACCCAACTAGTGTGTTGGCTGTGGGGAGGCTGACATCCAACTAGTGTGTTACATGGGGAGTGTTGGACATCCAACTAGTGTGTTATTATGGGGAGGCTGACATCCAACCAGTGTGTTATTGTGGGAGGCTGACATCCAACTAGTGTGTTATTACAGAGGCTGATTGACCAACCAGTGCAAGTTATTGTGAGGCCGACACCCAACTAGTGTGTTACATGGGGAGGCTGGAATATCCAACTTAGTGTGTTATTGTGAGTGTTGACACCAAATCAGTGTGTTGTTGTGGGGAGAAGGGACACTCCAACTAGTGTTGGCTAGGGGGGAGTGCTGACACCAACTAGTGTGTTATTGTGGGGAGGCTGACACCAACCGGTGTTATTATGGGGAGGCTGACACCCAACCAGTGTGTTATTGTGGGGAGGCTGACACCCAACCAGTGTGTTATTGTGAGGTTGACACCAACTAGTAAAGCTACTGTGGGGGGAGGCCGACACCCACCAGTGCTGCTGTGAGGAAGCTGACCCAACTAGTTACTGTGAGATTTCTCGACACTCAACTAGTGCCAATGGTGGAAATAAGCCAACATCCAAATCAGGGGTGTTGGTTGTGGGGAGGCTGACACCCAACCAGTGCTATTGTGAGGCTGACACCCAAATCAGTGTGTTATTGTAAAGAGGCTGACATCCAACCGGTGCTATGGGGAGGCTGACACCAACCAGTGTGTTATGTGGGGAGGCTGACACCAACCAGTGTTATTGTGGAGGTTCAACTGTTATTATGGGGAGGCTGACACCCAACCAGTGTTGGCTGTGGGGAGTGCTGACACCCAACCAGTGTGTTGTGGGAGGCTGACACCCAACCAGTGCTACTGTGAGGCTGACACCCAAATCAGTTGCTGCATGTTTACCCAACCAGTGCTACTGTGAGACTGACACCAACCAGTGTTACTGTAGCTGCCAACATCCAACCAGTGTTGGCTGTGGGAGGCTGACACCCAACTAGTGTGTTATTATGGGATAAGGACACCCAACTAGCAGCTACTGTGGGGAGGTTGACACCAACCAGTGTTGCTGTGAGGAAGTTGACACCCAACTAGTGTTACTGTGGGGAGATTGACCAACTAGTGTTACTGTGGGGAGTGTTGACACCCAACTAGTGCGTTATTGTGGGAGGTTGACACCCAACTAGTGTGTGTTATGCTATGTGGGGAGGCTGACATCCAACCAGTGTGTTATTGTGGGGAGGCTGAACACCAACCAGTGTTATTGTGGGGGAGGCTGACCAACTAGTGTGTTATTAGGGGAGGTTGACTGGGAGGTTGGACACCAACTAGTGTGTTATTATGGGGAGGTTGACACTCAACTATGTTACTGTGGGAGGTTGACACCAACCAGTGTTGCTGCAGTGTTACCCAAATCCTAGTGTGTTACTGTGGGGAGATTGGACACCCAACTACTGTGGGCGTTAAACATCCAACTAGTGTGTTATTGTGGGGAGTAAGCGACACCAACTAGTGTGTTATTATGGGAGTGTTGACACCCAACTAGTGTTACTGTGGGGAGGTTGACAATCACCATGTTACTGTGGGGAGGTTGACACCAACTAGTGCGTTATTGTGGGGAGGCTGACACCCAACTAGTGTGTTGGCTATGGGGAGGTTGACATCCAACTGTGTTATTGTGGGGGAGGTTGACACCAACTATGTGTTATTGTGTTATTGGGGAGGCTGGGACACCCAACTAGTGTGTTATTATGGGGAGGTTGACACCCACCAGTGCGTTATTGTGGGGAGGTTGACACCCACCAGTGTGTTGGCTGGTGGGGAGGCCGACATCCAACCAGTGTGTTATTGTGGGAGGACACCCAACTAGTGTGTTATTATGGGGAGGTTGACATCCAACTAGTGTGTTATTGTGGGAGGTTGACATCCAACCAGTGTGTTATTATGGGGAGGTTGACCAACTAGTGTGTTATTGTGGGGAGGTTAACACCCAACTAGTGTGTTATTGTGGGGAGGCTGACACCAACTAGTGTGTTATTATGGGGAGGTTGAGACCAACTAGTGTGTTATTGTGGGGAGGTTGACACCCAACCAGGGGTGCTATTATGGGGAGGTTGACACACCCAACTGGTGTTATTGTGGGAGGCTTTGACACCCAACTGAAGTGTTACTGTGGGGAGGCGACACCCAACCAGTGTTACTGGGGCAAGTTGACACCAACCAGTGTTACCGTGGGGAGGTTGACATCCAACCAGTGTGTTATTATGGGGAGGCTGGACATCCAAATCAGTGTGTGTTGCTAAGGGGAGTGCTGGACACTAACCACAGTGTTGGCTGTGGGGAGGTTGACACCCAACCAGTGTTACTGTGGGAGGTTGACACCCAACTAGTGTTACTGTGGGGAGGTTGACACCCAACCAGTGTTACTGTGGGGAGGCTGACA